TCTAGTTATTTTCCTATACTGGGCCTAACCATGACTGTGAAAATTACTGCCAATGTGTGATGTTGAGAAACAGGATAAGATTCATCTGTAAAGTTCTTTATTAAAATATTAATACTCTTTAATTATCAAAGAAGTCACTAACACATACACATGTATTTTATGTAAACTAAAATAAGAGATTTAATGTAACTGGACTGAAATATTTTAGACTCATCCTTAAGTGAAGAACACTTACTCTTAGCTGAGTTCGAAGTCTGGGTATCTCCTTCACTTTCTCTTCAAGTTCATCATTTTGATTTGTTAGTTTAACTAGCTCTTCAGCCATTATCGAGCGTGTTTTTTCTAGACTGCCAATTTCTAGCTGAGAAACATGACCATAAAGTAATTAAATCAAAATATATCTTGTTTAATAATCCCACTAATGTAAACATATTAAATGTGCTATTTTTTTAAGAAATAGATATGTCACCATGTAATAGTAAGCTGGCTTTTTCTTAAGTAAAAGGGAATAGTGGCCAAAAAAGGGTTTCCACTTTCCCCAGAGGTTCACCATTTATAGGGTTTACTATGAGAGAGAACTAAAGAAAATCTAATCATCTGTTTGAAACATGCAACTTTTTTTTCCCTCTAATTTAAGGAAATAGCGTATACTTCAGTTATTCTAAATTACTACAAAAAAGCCCAGAGAAATACAAACAAACTTTAATGTAGCACCCACTATGTCGGTCACATTGGAAGAATCTATCATCAGCTACCAAAGAAGCTCACGTGTGCCCTCGTGCACAGCACTGGGCTACACAAACATATTAGGTATTAAGGTCATTCTGATCCATTTTCTTCCAATTCAAGGACATCTTCTTTAATAGAGTAATATTTTCAACTCACTAAAATCATTTAATAAGAATAGAAAAGTTCCAATTTTGAGTGTATCAACTTTAACAATGAGAATAGGTAAAACATTTTAACATTTTTCAATGCATTAAGTTTTTAAAGAGCAAGATAAGACAGGAAGATGCTCCCTCCTCCCCACTCATGATGTTTCCTTTCATGTATAGGATGCTATAGTTCAAACCTCTCTCATCACCTTTAGTCCTTCCTCATAGTGGCAGCTGGAACAACTCACCTAGGTGGTAAATCTGGGAAGAATAAAGTGGGTGTGCTCAGCCCACCAACTTCTTTTTTTTTCATGTTTGGAAAAAGCTGCCTGCAAAGAGCTCTCCGCTCCTAGATGCCTACGAGTCTTACCCAGGCAGGTGACAGCACCTTGAGAGCCCTGCTCCAGCCCAGCGTTTCCTGTAACAGTCTCCCTAATGCTGGCACTCAGTTAGCAGGCTCATTTGGCTTTCACCATTGGCAAAGTTCTCCAACTAGCCTTTACCATTAATGTATGTGATTTATTTGGGGCTTCACATGCCACTGTTTCATTTTATTTCTCAATCTGCTCAGAATTCAGGTGGAAATGAAAGGTGCTAATTATTGGACCTCAAAATTTCATTTACTTTTAAAGTATGTTTAATTTTTTTTTTAATGGAGGTACTGAGGATTGAGTCCAGGACCTCGCACATGCTAAGAAGCATGTGCTCCACCACTGAACTATACCCACCACCCCCCATTTATCTTTTATAATACCTGTAAATGAGTAATTTCTCCTTCCTTTAGCTTTAGCTGAGACTGTAGATTTTCAATAATGCTTGATCCCGCTCCCATCCTTACAGCATCATAAAGATTGCTTCCATTTGCTGATACAGACATTGGTCCAAATGAGTGATCATGAGGCTCATCCTATGTTAATTAAAGAAAGCACATACAGGAGTAGTCACTTATTACAGACTGTGTTTCATTATAAGGGTCAAACAAAACAGTCTGGTCAACTCTTATTTTAAAATGACTTTCTCAAAAGCAGAAATCGTCTGTGTTTCCTCAGTGCAATAGCCTGATCTTACAAATGTGCAGATGAACGGCCTACAGAAGGGCAAGGTCACGGTGACATCCCAACTACTATGCGCATGCTCCCTCTACCATTGTCCAGGGTATGAAGTAAACACGTGTGAGAAATAAAACATCACCTGAGACAGAAAAGACGTCTGTAGCCCTGCCATATCAACTCCACTTATTGAACTTGACCGTGACATTGTGGGAGTGCTAGAAACAGAAAATGGCTTCCGTTCCTTAAGGAGTGGAAGAAAAAAAAATTCAGTTCAGATTGAAGAGTAAAATGATAATTTATTTACAAGTAAGACACTTTTCTAGGATTAGCGACAACAAAAATTCATTCTAATTGCCTCAAAATGTTACAGATATGATTTCTGAAGTCATAGCAAAGGCACAATATTTAGTAAGTTGAAAGAGTAGATAAACTTGGTCAAATCATTTATTTATAATTATCCATTTATATAATACAACAACATAATTTGGTTTATTTTTAATGGAATGAAAAAGTTTTTGTAGAAACAATTGTATGAACTAACTGCTTCATATTATATAACATACCACCAATGAAACCTACTTCTTTAGAATTAAGATTACCAATGATATTTGCAAACCATAAAGCTTCGGCTTATCTATTTTATTTTTACTGTGTTTTTTAAAACAAATAAATTCAAAAGGTAATTTCAATGTACATATAGGTGGTTTTACTATATTATGCTAACTACCGACTATACTCCAATCCTTTGGACTCACTTTAGAAAAATTATCTTCATTGACCAGAAAGAAAGTGAACAAACCAGTTTCACTCCCTATGGGCCAAATGAGGTGCATTAGCGTCAGTGAGAGTCCACAAAATTAACTTAAAAGGGGGCAAGAGGTTCTGTAATTCATATCCTAGAAATCACAGATCTCTTTGGATAAACTCAAATTACTCTGGATCTACTCTGAGCAGGACACTGACTGTGCTACTAGAATCCATCACTCTATTGATTTTAGACATAAGAAATGGTATTTACAAAGAACAGCTGAAATTACAAAATAATGATGAATCACAACAGCTGCTAATTGGTTACAACAAAAAGAAAACAAGATGAAAATCAAAATTCAGTACCTTTTCTTTTATTGCTTCTTGAGTGAAAATTGCTTTCTTCCTTTCTTGTTCAACTTTCATTTTCTCCATTTCTAACTGACTATTCAACAGCATCTGACGGAGACAGATACAGTTAGATAATTCCCATGATACTAAGTCATCATCATAAGTCAATCTCAAAGTCAGGAACATAAGGGGGAGGGTACAGGTCAGTGGTAGAGCATGTGCTTAACACGCACAAGGTCCTGGGTTCAATCCCCAGTGCTCCGGTAAAAATAAACAAACAGACAAACAAACCTAATTATTTCTCCCCATCCGCCCAAAAGAACAACACACAAAAGAAAAGAAAGTGGGGGAAAAAACCCAGTTCAAAGTCAGGCAGGAACATAAGGCATATACTCCTATTTGTTTTACTGCTAAAGACCAAGTTCCAAAAGCAGCAACATCACCCATTTCATCTTGTCATCTCCTTAGTTCGCTACCATCCCCAACCATTCTCTAATGGAAGCCCTAAGAGTTGAGCAAACACAAACAGAAATACCTTTTCTTTCCTTGTCTCTTCAAGTGTTCTTACATATTCATCTTTCAGGTTTTCTAATTCTACTTGGTACCTATTAAGCCAGAGGGAATTAAACACAACAAAAAATAAGATGGCACAGACTATTAAAAATTAACTGCTTTATTAACTTTTATATACTTTTATAACTTCTATATATTTAGTAGTCATTTTTACAACCAGCTTGATTTTCCAACTGTATTTTCCAGATGACACGGGTTTTATTCAGAAGATGAACTACTACTCTCGTGCACTTTATTTGTTGGAGCTCTGGGTTAAGATTTCACTTAAAAAGAGGCTTTCTAAAAAGAATTTTGAATACCACCATTCTATAATATATTCAGATTCTGTAGAAGCTTATTAGGGAGTTCTATGAAAATGTCTGCAAAAGGCAAAAGTTCATATATTTTACTTCATAAATCATTTTTACTCGCTACTGTGTTTTTAAAGTAAAATTTCCAAAGAAAAACTCAGAGGACAAAAACACTAATCATAGCCCTAATGTAACTTCAGATAGATGGCTTTTATAGCTTGTGGTTTCTGAAGAACTCAAGACATTTATTTAAAAAGAAGGGAACAATCCATCAAGCCTTGTAATATAAAAGTAACTCCAGTGAGTGGTCTTCAAACTAGTTTGTGGTCACAGACTCTAAAAAAATCTTATTAAAGCGATGAAGCCTTTCCCTGGAAAACGCAAGTACATTCAGAACATGCCAAAGAATTGCAAGAGCCTACGCAAGGTTCAATGAATCCCAGTCCTATTTTGCTGTAAGATCCTAGTATTAGTGACTCTGACTTTAAACACTAAAAGTACGTATTTTTTAGATCTCAGTACTATGAAGCTAAAACCAAAACGTATTTTTTAAGTGCTTTAAAAATGCGATGAAACTACCAACAATACTACTCAAGAAAAGTACTCACCTATTATTTTCATCCTCTAGTCTTCTCAGCCTACTTTTCTCTGATTCTAGCTGGGCCTGAAATCTACTGTTTTCCTGTCTTAAGAGAGAATTCTGTGACTCCATGGAAGACATCTGAATTTTGTTGGCAAGGAGTTCTTCTGTAGTTGCACGTTCTCTCTCAACGGCTGCTGCTAACAGAGTCTGGGATTCACCTGGTTGTAGGATACAGAAGAAAAAATTACACATACATGTATTTGAGAGGCCAAAATACCACGTAGATTCTGACTTCAAACTTTTAATGACGCAAGTAGCCACACTTAAAACTTGTAACTACTAATTGTACAGAGACAAAAAAACCCTAATTTATGCCTGCTTTTTCATTTTTTTCACCAAAATATGTTAATTTGAAAGTGGAGTCATGTATCAAAAGAGAAGTGAATCAGCAGACAGTGCTGGATCAACTGGATATTCAAAGGAAAACAAAAATGAACCTCAAACTAACTTTCACACCATATATGAAAATTAACTCAAAATGGATCATAAACTTAAGTGTAAAACAAAATATAATGAGGGGAGGGGCAAAATTAGTGAGAGGATTATGAGGTACAAAGCTGTCAAGTACAAAATAGATAAGTTACAAGGATGTAACGTACAGCACAGGGAACATAGCCAATACTTTACCGTAACTTTATATGGAGTATAATCTATCAAAACATCAAATTTCCATGTTGTACACTTGAAACTAATATATTATTTTTTTAAAAAACTGTAAAACTTTTAGGAAAAAAACGGAAGAAATCTTTAGGATCTAGGGATAGGCAAAGAATACTTAGGTTTGACACAGAAAGCATGAGCCATAAAAAGAAAAACTGATCAAATGGACTTCTTCAAAATTTAAAATTTTTGCTCTATGTGAAAAAGATGAAAAGACAAGCCACAGACTTGGCGGAAATAAATGCAAATCACATTATCTAAAACTAGCACCTAGAACACATAAAGACATCTCAAAACTCAACAGTGAAAATACCAACAATTGACTTAGAAAACAGGCAAAAGACGTAATATAAACATTTCACCAAAGAGGATGTTCAAATGAAAAAAAAAAGCACAAAGAATAATGTTCCCCAACATTCATGAGGAAAATGTGAATTAAAATCATAATGAGATATCATTACATACCTGTCTGAATGACTAAAATAAAAAACAGGGACAATACTAAAAGAAAATGCCAGCAAGAATATAGAGAAACTGGATTAGTCTCACACATGCGACCACTTGGGAGAACAGTTTGGCATGTTCTTAAAAAACTCAACACACAACTATCCATACAACCCAGCAACTGCACACCTGGGCATTTATCCCAAGAAATGAAAATTTAAGTTCACACATCTGTACAGACAAAATCTAGATCCAGCTCAGACATCCTTTGTCAGGTAGGTTAACAAGATGTGTTACATACATGGAAAAACACTCAATGATAAGAACTAAATCTTTGATACACACAAGAACTTGGATGAATCTCCAGGGAATTACACTGAGCCAAAAAAAAAAAAAAGTCAATCCCCTAAACGTCCTGTATTATACAATTCTATTTATATACCATTTTGAAGTTCCAAAATTCTAGAAATGGAGGATAGATGAGTGGCTGCCAGAGATGTGGGACAGGAAGGGAGGGCTGTAAGGGTGGTAACTGTGGTTATAAAAGAGCAAAATGAGGGACCTTTGCGGTGTTGGAACTATTCAGTATCTTGACTGTAGTGATGGATACATTAACATACACACGTGGTAAAACTGTATAAAACTTTATGCACACATAGACACATACAGACACACACAGATGTATGCACACACAGAAGTACCAGTAAAACTGGGGAAATCTGAATAAAATCAGTAGTTTGTTTAAAAGTCAATAACTTGGTTGTCATATTCTACTATAATTTTGCAAAATATTAATATTTGGATATTGGGGAAAGTGTGCAAGGGACCATTCTGTATTATTTACTATATATTATAACTGTATGTAAGTTTACAATTATCTCAATTGAAAATTTCAATTAAAAAAAAAAGACTACTGGATAAGATTCGGAGATTCAACCAAGGCAAGAATTCTCACATTTTTCCCCCACCAAAGTAGAACTAATAATATCTCTATTTAATATTTTATATTGTTCTATACTGTACCTATGCTCTTATTTATAGCATTATACGTTTGTCCTGTGGCTTTGCATGCATTCCAGCACAATATGACATATCTGAGGGTATGTAGGCTCCAGCTTAAAAAAACCACAAAAATAATGGCTTCTAGCTTTCATTTACTGCTAAATAAACATTCGTTTCAGAAGGTGTCATTTTTGGATATCTCATATTTCATAACAAATGGGTCTCAAAAAGTTGTCCCAGATAAATGATAGACCTAACATTCATACCTACAAATTAAACAATACGAAGGTTCATCTGTTCAGTTTTGTTTTTTTTTAAGCAAATGGATCTATTTTCAGACAAAAGCTTACATGGAACTTAAAAAAAAAAAAAAAAAGATAGACAAAGGAGGCACTTTCATTAAAGCAGCCCAGAGGGAGCCCAGCATCTTACCTACCGAGCTTCTGTCTCATCATGACAGCCAGCACTGAGATATCTAAGGGAGACACAGAACACTGTCTGAAAGCCACTAACCTAGTTCACCCCGCATGATTTACAGGGAGTAGCCCAGAGAAAGTAAGTGATTTGCTCCAGACTGCTTGGCTGGATGATTCAAAACAAAACATAAAAATCCAGAGTCCATATCTCCTGACACTCTTTCAGGTCTGCTTTCATCACTACACCATGATGTCTCACAAATTATAGTTAATTTTAGATACAGAATGGACACAGGCATTTTTTATGATTTGCTACTTTCTGGGCTATCTAATATATATACATACAACCTGTCAGTGCTTGAATAAATATCTTGGAAGAATAATTTTCTTTAGAAGTAGAATATGGCATCTTAAGACTCCACAGTATCTGTCTACAAGAATTTGATCTTGAACCACCTTAGATCTATCTCTGCTCTTGGAGTTCTATCACTGACTAGAATCATATCTGGTCTCTACCTCCTACACTACTGTGGACAAGCTAGAAAGAGGTCAGATTTAGCAATGGACAAGAAAATAATTAAGTACAACAGTCTGTAAAAATGAATGAAAGAATGACATGAGAGTATTTTAGATGGTACCTGAAGCATCGTGTAAGGAATGGTTTGAAAGAGACGATTAAGATACTAGAAAATAAAAGTAAAAGAAGAGAAGAGGTAAAAGATCTACAAGTTAGACACATAATAAAACCATTAGATCAAGTGAATTTCAATTTCATACCATTACTCTAATTCTACAAACAAGATGGAAGGGCTTCCGCGCTGAGCTTAAGAACTAAAGCAGTTACCAAGTCTATCAGAAAGATTCTTCTCTAACTTCTCCCACGACGACGTCTGGGACCCTAGAGTTGCTTGCAAATTTTCTATCTGTCGAAGCAATGGTCTTGTTGTTGAAGAAACACTTTGACTTAATTCTTGGTTTCTATTCTCTGCTTCCTGGAGTCTCTGGATCATGACATTAAGTCATTACTATTGACAGCAATAAAAACACTAAAAACACTAGCAAACAA